TTAAATCAATGGCAGGAGAGTATTTCATAATGATTTTTGTTTTTCAGTCCTTAAATTGAATTAATGACATTTCCTGGTTTCCCTACTGAGTATCCTGAAATGGAAATTTGACAGCTAAGTGTAACATATTGTTCATTCAGCCTGAAAATAAAGTGAATATCTATATATTTACAGTAGAACAATAATGGATTTATTCTAATTGCTAAGGTGTTTTGAGCCAAAGCATTTAAAATATTGAGAAAAGCTGAACATATATTGGCATAAATATTTGTTTTTTAGGATGCAGACATTCTTAACCAAAATGAGTTTTGTATGGGAGCCACTGGGGAAGTCATGTTTCAGGAGAGCAGGGTACTATGTACAAAGGTAGAAAAGATGATTAAATTACTTGCTGTGCTGGGGAAATTAATATTCTTTGCTGGGAAGGCCATTTCTTCTAGGATTATTTTACTTATTTAGATTCATAATTGGGACATATGCTTATCTTCCTGCTCATGAGTCAACCTTAAAGTATTTATGGAAATTAAAAATAAATTTATTATTTTTCAAATTCTTTTGAAGGTAGCAGATAGATTAAACTGAGAACATGGGAGAGTTTAGGCTTCAGAAAAAAATGTTACATGCTTTTTAATGTTTAAATGTGTAACTTTAATCAAAATGTTTATTCAATTTAATGATATTTCTAATTTTAGATATTTTAATGGCTGCTGTCAAAATACACATGTAATATGTGTATCCTCATAACACAAATACTGGGCCTTATAGTGCTATTATTGCTGCTAATGCTGTTGTAATACTACTTACTGAATTATGTAATGTAGTATGTGATAAAAATGAGAAATAATTAAGCATACAGATAGGTTTAGTCAGTGCAACATTCCACGTGGACTGCAGTCCCTATTCAGCTCAACACTGACACCATCTGGATAGAAACAGAACCAACCCATAGCAGCCAGTGGGCTAACTTCAGAGTGGTTTAGCTAGTGATAACTCAGGAGCATCACCGATTCAATGGACACAGACTTGAGCAAACTCCGGGAAGTGATGACGGATAGGAAGGCCTGGTGTGCTGCAGTCCATGGCGATGCGAAAAGTCAGACATGGCTTGGCTACTAAACAACAACAACTCAGGAGCCCAGGCCATGATTTTAAAAGGATAACCTCTATGGCTTAGAAAATGGGAAATTGAGGAGTGCATGGTGATGAATAAATCCTTATGGGGTTAGGACACTTTCAAAGACATGGTGTTGCTGCAAAAGCCTAAGGCAGTTCTCAGGGTCTTAACTTATCCCAGCTCACACTGTGTTTTTCCCCTGCACTCAGGAAGCGGGTGCTCTAGCCTGGATATGAGTCCTAGCAACTACCCTTCAGGAGAAACAGCACATTGGGTCCACAGAAAAAGTGCTGACATAGCACTGAGGTGGGATGGCATATTGCCAAAGATGCCAGATCGCCCTTGAAATACAGTGACTGAGTTAATGCATTAATGGTATGTCCTGCTGAGAAGGCAATGGCAACCCACTCCAGTACTCTTGCCTGGAAAATCCCATGGACGGAGGTGCCTGGTAGGCTACGGTCCATGGGGTTGTGAAGAGTCGGACAGGACTGAGTGACTTCACTTTCACTTTTCACTTTAATGCATTGGAGAGGGAAATGGCAACCCACTCCAGTATTCTTGCCTGGAGAATCCCAGGGGCTGCCGTCTATGGGGTCGCACAAAGTTGGACATGACTGACGCAACTTAGCAGCAGCAGTACATCCTATGTGTCCTAAACAATGCCCAATGCAACTGCCAAAGAAACATGGGTCCATCCATCGGAGTTTCCAACAAGTGAAGGGTTGGCAAATTGATTATATTGGCCACCTCCCACAAAGTGAATGTTTTTAATTATGCCTTAGTTTGTGCAGACACAGTGTCTGGCCTAACCCAAGCTTTCCCCTGTCACTTTACAAACCAGGATGCAACTATTAGGGTATTAGAGAAGCTGAGTACCATGTATATAGATACCCTTATCAAATAGTGTTTGGGGATTACATTTCAAAGGTCATGCATTAAAACATTTCAAAGGAACATTACATTGATGGAGACTACATCTCCATCATAAACATTATCTCCCCTATAAACTGCAAACAGCAGTGCTGGTAGAAAGGAATAATGGAATATTAAGACAGCAGATTAAATTACTATTAGGTAAAGCCACCTTGGCCAGGTGGACTAAAGTACCATTTAAAGCTCTAATGATCAACCAGTAGTGCCTCTGCCCCCACAGGCCAGACTTACCAGACTGAGATCCCCTGTCAAGACACACAATACTGTGACGTTTTGCAGGTCATCGGGGAAAGCCATGGTTCCCACTCTTGTCATGGATCAATGTGACTTGAGAATACCAAGTCATATCACACCTGGGAGAGGAGTTATCCGCTGGAGTTTGCAGTGGGATGAGTGAGTTACTTCACATCCAATCTCCCCTGGGATCCCACTGGGTTCCAATTGAGACCTGCTGATATACGTACCATGGAGAGAGGGGACATGGTGGGGGTTCTGGTGTGGCATCAGGTCCCATCCCTAGTCCATCTCCTCTTACCTGACAATGCTGTCTCCCTTGGTAGACATGCATGGTATGCACAACCAGATCAAATTCCTAAAGCTGCAGCCACATTAATATCTAAGGACCAGGCCACAATGTAGTTCCTATAGAAAGGGAAGATCTTCCTGTACAAGTTTCTATTAAATGTCTGCCTTTTAAACCTCAGTCTTCTGCTGTGGTTTCAATACAGAACGGGCACCTAATGGAAACAGCTTTCAACAGCAGGCCAATTTGTATGTCCAGCAAACGAATCTATCCAACTGTTGGGATATGTGGGCAGTTGCATGTCTCAGCTCATTAGGATTTCCATGGTGGTATCACCACTCCAGGGAGGGGATATGAGGGCCCTAAAGCAGTACATTAAGGAAAAAGAACAAGCTAGGACTAGCACCCTTAATTTACCTGGTGTAGACCACCAGGTTCCTCTGTCCATGGAATTCTTCTGACAAGAATACTGGAGTGGGTAGCTGTTCCCTTCTCCAGGGGATCTTCCTGACCCAGGAATCAAACCCAGGTCTCCTTCATTGCAGGAAGATTCTCTGCCATCTGAGCCATTAGGGAAGTCCCAATATTACCAATACTGATTTAGTAGCCTGGACTGCAGCATACACTATCAATAACACTGAGCATAGTCTGGTTCCCTGGCTCCACAACCAAACTACATTAGCAGCATGCCAAACAACTGACCAAAATATTAGCATCAAAGCCACGGGTTGTTACATTCAGATCTGGGATGGATCCATCTTGTTTACGGACATTCGAGCATGTTTGAATCCTTATGTTGGAAACATAAACATCACTCTAAAGAGAACCAACCCAACTGTACCAGGGATATGGGGTGTTTGTCACCAGGAACCAGGTAGGCATTCTGCCACATTAAACGATAGCAACTGGTTTGGAAGCCCAGGTATTTCTTCGGTAGCACTACATGGGATCCAATGACTGTGTGGCACAAATCTTTGACCATGGCCTCCACTGACGAGGTTGGGCTGCTGCACCATGAATTTCCTTTGGGCACAGGGAAGAATGTGACATGTGGTAACAAACTGCCAATTTCCCTCTCCTCAAGGTCAGAAAGATGCGTTCTGTTTTCACCGGTACAATCATGTGGCCACTGTCTTTATTCCCTCCACTGGCCTGGAGAATATTATACCGCACATAGAAACTCTTAAAAAATTCACCCAGCTAACCTTAAATGCCAAAGCCTCTCCTTTAGGAATACTGAAATGTATCTAATGAGAAATTATCTCCTCCAAACTGGGATGCCCTTGAGCATTATCACTGTCTCACAAGGAGGCACCTGTGCCATTACCCAAACACAAGGTTGTGTGTTTATACCTGATGAGTCTGCTAAATGTACCATCTTTATTAAGTAGCATGAAGACACAAGGAAAGCCCTGAGTGATCTGTCTCCAGCCTAGCGGACTCAAACCAGTGAGTCAGATCATGGGCTCTTGGGGAGGCAGGGGGGTGGGGGGGAGGTTGTTACTTACATGTGTTTCTTTTGTGTGTGCCTATATTGTTGCTAACACATCTGGCCCCAATGCTGCCAGAGAGCTGTCAAACCAGGTTCGTTTGTGCTAATAAAACCCCCTACTGACTCAAGGCATATTATGGAAAAGAGGGGCTTGTAAATAAGATTGTAAGAGCTGTTCGCCAGGGGTGGAGTGTTGAAGGAGGTCACAGAGAGGAGAGGCCCGCAAGGTGATCAGTGAGCTGGTTTCAGACAATTAAAGGCTCCTTACCCCCTCTCCTGTGCTTGCAATGTATATTTCCTCCACTTTTCCCACACTCAGAGTCACTTCAAGCACTTAGCCTTAAGTGAGTAACGTCCTGTTGAGACAGACCCTCTGGGCTGTATATATAATCGAACCCTGTTAAGGCCTCTGTTGAAACTCTATTTAGAGTCTGGCAGGTGAGTTCCCAGACCTCATCTCCAGCCGCCCAAGACAAACTTTCTAAATCCCTGGCTTATTATATAAAACCCGCCACCTTCCAATCCGGAGTGGACGGCCTCCTTCCTCCACCTCTCTTTGCTATTTGAGTTCGGAGGCCAGTTTCGGACTTCACCCGGGACACTCCTGAAGTTTAGAATCCACAGGCAGGAAGTAGACTGTTGGGAAGAACCAGTATCGCAGCACTTCTGAGAATTACAGAATCAGGCTGCGTAGAAGTCCGCTCCACTCGCTTCTCAAAAGACGCCGGCTCTCTGGTGGGATCTCGCGGGATTTCAGATTTCAACGGAAGCCAGTCGGGGAATTCTGGGATGAGACACACCAGGGTGCCCCGGTGCTAGAAGGTTCTTATGCCAAGTTTGTCAGTAAGGAATCTGCCCCCTAGCACCTCTTCCGCCAACTTCAGTATTCGTGGACACCTGCCCGCAAGGTGATCAGTGAGCTGGTTTCAGACAATTAAAGGCTCCTTACCCCCTCTCCTGTGCTTGCAATGTATATTTCCTCCACTTTTCCCACACTCAGAGTCACTTCAAGCACTTAGCCTTAAGTGAGTAACGTCCTGTTGAGACAGACCCTCTGGGCTGTATATATAATCGAACCCTGTTAAGGCCTCTGTTGAAACTCTATTTAGAGTCTGGCAGGTGAGTTCCCAGACCTCATCTCCAGCCGCCCAAGACAAACTTTCTAAATCCCTGGCTTATTATATAAAACCCGCCACCTTCCAATCCGGAGTGGACGGCCTCCTTCCTCCACCTCTCTTTGCTATTTGAGTTCGGAGGCCAGTTTCGGACTTCACCCGGGACACTCCTTAAGTTTAGAATCCACAGGCAGGAAGTAGACTGTTGGGAAGAACCAGTATCGCAGCACTTCTGAGAATTACAGAATCAGGCTGCGGAGAAGTCCACTCCACTCGCTTCTCAAAAGACGCCGGCTCTCTGGTGGGATCTCGCGGGATTTCAGATTTCAACGGAAGCCAGTCGGGGAATTCTGGGATGAGACACACCAGGGTGCCCCGGTGCTAGAAGCTTCTTATGCCAAGTTTGTCAGTAAGGAATCTGCCCCCTAGCACCTCTTCCGCCAACTTCAGTACTCCTGGACACCTAAAGCCGCCCCGCCCAGTCAGTGCAGTGGAGTCTATGCCAGGCCTCGCCAGGTACTGGGAAACCCGCGGGGGCAAAGGCGGTGAAGGAGAGGGAATGACGGAGGCCAGAACTGGTCATAAAGCGTGAGCACAGGCTGTGTAGGGTACGGAGTTAGAGAAGGTGAGGTTCAGAAAAAGAAGGAGACCGGCACTTTACAAGAACAGATCACCTTTAGTGAGGTGAGAAGGGGCAGCAGTCAGATTAGCGAGCTGCTGCACTTATCCAAGAAAACAGTTAAGTATATATAGGCATATATGTGGAAAGTTACTATCTTAAGGGAGCCTGTTATCTCGGAATAGTTATCTCTTAAATGGCTGGGGCAAGGAATTTTGGAGATTGGTCAGAGGCTGGACCGGCTGAGAGCTGGGCTTAAGCAACTTTAATGTCCATTTTTTTCTTCGGGTGAGAGAGTTATTTGTTTTGTATAGAATGGTGGGGAGGACCTGGAAGGGAGTTTTAACTTAAGACTATTTTGAGCCATGTAACTTTCCTTCAGGCTGTAAACCTAATGCCCTTCCAGGAGCCTAAAGGATCTAAAGCAATGAGGCAGACTTCCAGTGCAGAAGTCTGGTAATCTGTTCCCTGGCTGCTGAAGTCCAAGGTTCTGTTAACCCTGACTTGTGTCCTATTGCATATCCTTGGGGGCAGTTATTTCTCTCTGTGGCTTAGCAGTGCCAAAATTCATCCCAGTAAACCTACTCCTGTTCCTGGAGCCCTTTCTCTGAAGAGCAGTCTTACAGAATTATCTTCTCTTTGTGCCCTATCTCCTAGGTCTATATCTATATATTTCTATCAATAGGTCTACCTTTACTTATAGATTGGCAGAGAGAGACAGATATAGATTGATAGTGAAGGCTTTACAGGTGACTCAGTGGTAAGACAATCTGCCTCTCAGTACAGAACCAGAGGACACACAGGTTTGATCCCTGGGTGGGAATATATGCCCTGGAGGAGAAAATAGTAACCCACCCCAGTGTTCTTGCCTGGAGAATTGCATGGACTGAGAAGCCTAGCAGGATACAGTTGAACACAACTGAGTGCCTGAGCACAAGCACGCTAGGTATAGGAGAGAGGAGAGGTTTATTTTAAGGAACAGGCTCATGTGATTGCAGAGGCTAGCAAATATGAAACCTGCAGGGACAGCCAGCAGGCTAGAGGTCAGACTTAAGCTAAAGCTTGAACACAGTGTGAAGTCCAATTTGCCTTAAGCCCTTCGACTGATTAGATGAGGCCCACCCACATAATGGAGGATAAATACTTTACAAGAATACACAGAAGAACTATACAAAAAAAGATCTTTATGACTCAGATAACCAAGACGGTGTGATCACTCACCTAGAGTCAGACATCCTGGAGTGTGAAGTCAAGTGGGCGGTAGGAAGCATCACTGTGAACAAGACTAGTGGAGGTGATGGAATTCCATTTGAGCTATTTCAAATCCCAAAAGATGATGCTATAAAGTGCTGCACTCAATATGCCAGCAAATTTGGAAAATTCAGCAGTGGCCAGAAGACTGGAAAAGGTCAGTTTTCATTTCAATCCCAAAGAAAGGCACTGCCAAAGAATGTTCAAACTATTGAAAGGGCTCAGTATAGCTTTATAAATACTAGCCAGTCATTATAGAAAATGTTACAAACATTAGGCCTCAGAAATATATTAATAAGAAATTTCTTTCACCTGCCAATTAAAACCAGTGATCACATGAGCATGCACATGCCATAGAGAAAGAATTTGAAAATATATTCAGGAATGTACAACTGTGTGTGTATTAAAATAAGAAGAAACACTGGATACAAATTGTCTTCTGATTAATAGTACACCCAAATAACAGTTATAAAGTTAATATTAAATACCAGTCTCGATGTTACAAAAATCACTGGCTTTGCACAGTATATAACAAGTTAATTTGCTTCTCTGACTAATATCTATAACAAAATCTTTCAGGTAGAGTCATCAGTGACTTATTGGTGATATAATATAATTGAAATTATCAACAGATAAAATTAAAAGGGAGGTTTAAATGATAGAATTATAGTACATGCCAGCAATTTCTCAAAGTGAATTACCCAAATATAATTGCATATTTCTGCTGTGTTCTAAAGTTCAACAGCCTGAAATGTGATTGAATTATGCATGCATTCATAAGACTGCATATCAAAAGGGAGAAGATAACAGAAATGGTTTAATATCTATATGGGCTAGAAATCTATTAATGAAGTGAAATCACTCAGTCATGTCCAACTCTTTGTGACCCCATGGACTGTAGCCCACCATGCTCCTCCATTCATGGGGTTTTCCAGGCAAGAGTACTGGAGTGGGTTGCCATTTCCTTCTCCAGAGGATCTTCCCAACCCAGGGATCGAACCTGGGTCTCCCGCATTGTAGGCAGATGCTTTAGTCTGAGCCACCAGGGAAGCCCCTTGATTTCTGTTAGTAATAGAAATCTATGAACAGTGTCTATGGATTATATGCTCTGTTTTCTGTTGCATTCACTTCATCAACCAAAAATATGAGGATATATTAATTTTTTATTTCCATACAATATCTTATTAATCTCATTCCTAAAATCTTCAGACATAAACATTAAATTGAAATTACTGAAATCAAAGATCTATCCACTATCCAAAATATATAGCCAATTTTTAAATTATGACATGTAGTTTATCAGAAAGGGGTTTATTGTTTTAGAAAGAAATGAAACCTGCATATGAGATATGTATTGACTAAATAACTACTCAAAAGAAAATTATAATCTCTAAATTTCTTATGTTTGATTTACTTATTTCCAAATAAAATTGTTTTGTTTATTAGGAAACAGTATTTCATTGAATTCACAAAACTGTAGCTAGAAAAGAAGTATCTTTCATAAATTGCCTGGCATATTGGTTGGCAGAAAAAGATAATTTGTTTTAATGTAGTTCTATGTTCACTTTTTCCTTTCATTTACTTCTCTTCATAAAACAAAATTCAAGTGATGCTGGATTGTTAATGTTTTAAGATGTCTTGATCCTCTCTTCAGTTTGAATTACACAATAGCTTTGTTTCTGCAAAAAGTTAACTCTCATAGATTTGTCTTTCAGTTCTACTTATGAGCCTCGATAATTTCTAGCTTAGGCAATTATGTCATCTAGGCTAAGTGAGTCAAGAACATTTTTTTGAATAGAGCAAATTTTGTTTTAAAAACATAATTCATAGGTACGTCATTAATGTGTAAAGGACTGATTTACCTGGTGCGTGCTCATCTTTATGGTCAGAAAATCATGACTCATCTTGACTTTTTAATGCAATCTTGAATTTTATATGCTTTCTGTATCATTACTGTTCAGCTGGATGCTTTCCTGGTTAATTCTAGAAAGAACAACAAACTTTGCAGGAAAAATAAGAGCCTCAGGGCATTTCCTTGGCTGGACTGGAAATCCAAAGTATTTTAAAGGATATCCAAAGGATTCCAACATCAAAAGGAATTTGCTAATGAGTTATAGTATTTAAACAGATTAAAATAAATTAGCAACTGGCATTAAATTCCACTGTACTTTTGTTGAGATATCAAGATATACATTTTCAAGTGATAGTGACATTTTATGCAATATGCTATTTGTATTTGTTATATATATATATATATGTAAATGCATAGGGATAGGAGCTCAGTGATCACTCCTCAATGGACAGGTGGTAAAAGAGGTGTGTGTGTGTGTGTGTGTGTGGTGGTGGAAGGGAGGCACTGTGTGTGTGTCAAAATTGGAAAACTAAAAGCTCATTTTTTTACTTTAATAGGGCCATGTATATAGGGCTGTGGTATTGATTACCATGATATAGTATTGAACAAAATAGAGTCCCTTTCAGGTAAGATAGAGTTAAATGAATACTTTTCAATTAATGTAACATAAATTTTGTACAATGCTTATAAATGAAAATCAAGTCTCTTATAACAAGAAAACCCAACTAATCACATGGACCTCCATAAGAGAGAATATTTAAGGGAGATAAAGCATAATTAAGGTTTAAAGGTACAAAAAGAATTAAAAAGGCAAGAAACTAAGAAAAGTTCATAAGTTAACAGAATGGTGAATAGTACACTGAGAGTCAGGAGAGGTGGTTATAGAGAAAAGTAGGTGTCAGATTATATTCACCTTAGTGTCTGTTCGAAGGGTGAAATAATTTGTTTTAAGAGCAATAGAATACATTTATTTATTTGAACAGAATAAGATATATTTTTAGGTACACAATGTTATGTCTTTTCTATCATATTTGTATCTTACATCACTAAATTTTTGATTGATGCTTTGTCATCTTTGTTGGGGGCTCATTGTTTTCTGATTCCAGTTGTATGTTTGGCTGACACTGAAATTGTATTAGTTGACTGCTAGAATGAAAATGCAGAACTAGAAAATTTATCAGCCCACTCATGATATTATAGCCATCTACATATACATATATACGTATAAAGTGAAGTGAAGTGAAGTGAAAGTTGCTCAGTCGTGTCCAACTCTTTGCGGCCCCAGGGACTTTATAGTCCATGGAATTCTCCAGGCCAGAATGCTGGAGTGGGTAGCCTTTCCCTTCTCCAGTGGATCTTCCCAACCCAGGAATCGAAACAGGGTCTCCTGAATTGCAGGCAGATTCTTTACCAACTGAGCTATGAGGGAAGCCCTATATACATACATACATACATACATATATATACACACACACACACACACACACACACACACACACTAAAATATCTATTCAGCTGAAAATGAGAATAAAGATAATAGAACTAAATATATAAACTTCTTAAAATAATTAGTACCAACTAACACAAATTTTGAAATTTTAAAGTAAAGTTAATCTCCATTAAGAAGAGATTAATTAATCTCCATTAATTTTATATCACCAACAGTAGTCAAACATTATGGTAAATAAAGATCTTTTTATATTCAAGTGCACAGAAATTTTAGTCTCAAGAATTGTTTTTAAGAAAGCTATAAGAAAATAATCCTCAGCAGAAAGAGAAAAAAGAACAGAGAGA